CAGGACCATTACCCTCATCCCATCCTTCCCCCGCCCACACCATCACTAGAAAGGGAATGGGGAAAGGGGAGCTCATCTGAGGGGGCATAGATGGACTTCGGGAAACACGTCCTTCACTCTCCCCCACCAGTCCATCACCCCACCACCATCCATCACCCTCTGCATTTCCCCAAAGCAAGGTCTAAGTGGGGTACAACATGTACCCCTAAAAAGTCTCTATGATTTTTCATAAACTGATACCCTTAGAAAGGGCTAGTCCGCCCCCCACAAGTAACATAGGCCCTTAATTAACAAGTCACAGATAATCACATAAGTTACATGAACCCTAATAAATCTGCAGGGCCATATAATGTAACTGGGACCCTAAAAGGGTCTTGGGATGACGACATAAGGTATAATACGCCCCAGCAGGGCGGAATAACCATAAAGATACAAAACCCCAGCAATTTTATCAATGATCACAAAAGTAAAAAAGCTCTTTGAAAGGGTTTGGGTATAAAACACACAAGGTACAAAAGCCCTACAAGGGCTGCGAAGGGGTCTGGCCCCTAACAAGGGATAGGATGGCAAACAAGGTGCCTGGGCCCCGCAAAGGGTGCATAGGTGATTGGGACCCAAACAGGTTTTTTAAGGGGCTTTACATTTTTCCTGACTGAGTTATAAAGCAGAAAATACTCTGGTTAGTAAGCAGGGAAAATACTCGATTAGTATAGCAGAATATACCTTAGTATAGCAGGGAAAATACTCTGAGTTATATAGCAGGAATTACTCTGAGTTTGTATACAGGGAAATACTCGGTTAGTAAAGCAGGGAAAATACTCTAGTTAGTATAGCAGGAAATACTCTGAGTTAGTATAGCGGAAAATACTCTATTAGATAGCAGAATATCCTGATTAGAACAGAATATACTCTGGTTGTATAGCAGGAAAATACCTGAGTTTGTATAGCAGGGGTTAACTCTAATTAGTTAGCAGAATATACCTGGTTAGTATAGCAGGAATAACCTGAGTTAGTATAGCAGGAATAACTCGATTAGTATAGCAGAATATACTCTTGGGTTTGAAGCAGAATATACTCGAGTTAGTATACAAAATATACTCTGAGTTATATAGCAGAATATACTCTGAGTTAGTATAGCAGAAATACCCTTTAGTTATTAGCAGGGAAATACTCTTGTATAGCGGAAATCCAGACTTTTCAATACGAGAGTTTACACTTTTATTTTGCACATTTTTTTCCGCATAAAAAAAAAAAAAAAAATCGGTCTTATAAATAATTAAATAATGAAAAAATTTGTTTGTTATCAGTATGAAATGACCATAACAAGAGCTGTGACAATTACGAAGAACCTTATTTTCTTACACTGAGAAATGTTATAAATTAGAAAAAATGTCAAACATAGCCAATACTCTGACAATATCACATTACTGAACCGCAGATAAGAAAAAACTGACAAAAGATTAATTTGCACAAGAAATTTTGGAACTCGTTTTTAATTTTAAAATATTCTGAAAATGAGGTGCAGTCTTGAGGACCAATTATCACAATGGCTTCAAATCTCAGCGATAAATTTTTTCGATAAATTTACCTGACATCTTCAATTTGAGAATGTTTGTTCCATACCAAAAACTGATACGAATCCCAAGCCAATCACTTCAAATTTTTTAAACTGTTCAGGGTGTAAAGATTTTTGAAATTTTTAATCAGATTCCCCCCTTAAAATTTTTTTTTTCAGAATCATCCGGGAGATCAATTTTTTCATGGTTGTACCAATCATACAAGAAAAATTTTTCCCCATGGGGTACCATCACAAGTAATTAGTTCTCCACAGTGGTTTACCAGTACAAGTAATTTTTCTCCACATGGTTGTACCCGTCAAAGTAATTAGTTTTTTCCACATGGTTGTCCAGTCACAAGTAATTATTCCCACATGGTTTACCCGCCACAAGAATTATTTTTCCCATGGTTTTTACCAGTCACAAGTAAAATTTTTCTCCCCAGTGGTTGTACCGTCACAATAAATTTGTTCTCCACGGTGGTTGTACCGTCACAATATTATTCTCCACAGGGTTGTACCATCACAAAAATTAGTTCTCCATGGTTTTTACCCTCACAAGTATTAGTTCTCCACAGTGGTTTACCATCACACAAAAAACGTTTTTACAGTGGGTTTACCATCACACAAAAAACGTTCTCCACAGTGGTTGCCCCCGACACAAAAAACGTTCCACGTGGTTGTACCAGTCCCGCACAAGTAATAATTTCTTCAAGTGGGGGACCAGTAACACAATAATTTGTTTTTCAAGGGGTTTTACGAGTCTCACAAGTAATTAGTTCTTCAAAAGTGTCTGTACCAGTCCACAAATAATTTTGTTCTCCACATGATTGTACCACTCCAACAAAATTTTTCACAGGGTTGTAACAGTCACACAAGAAAATTCCTTCAAATGGTTGTACCAGTCAGTACCCCTTTACTGTCCCCTTTACCCCAAGACCCAAACCCCTACCACCCTGCAGCTGTGGGCCCTGACAAGCAAGACCACACCACTCCTACCTGGCATGTCCAGGAAACCCCGCAAAACCACACCACTACCTATCCTCCGCGTGCCAAAACCCCTAAACAACACCAGTACCTACCCTGGAATGTGCCAGGACCCCCACAATACCACACCACTACCCAGCCTGGGATGTGCCAAGACCCACAAGGCCACACAAAAACCTTTCCCGCGCTGTCCAACCCCCAACAAACCCCCCACTTCCTACCCTCAGCGCCCCAAGACCCAGCAAGACCACTCCACTTCCTACCCTGCAGCGTGCCAAGACCCGCAAACCACACCATTCCCCCCCTGCAGCTGTGCCAAAACCCAGCAAACCACACCACCCTACCCTGGCAGTGCCCAAAACACAGCAAATCACATCACTACCTACCCTGCAGCTGTGCCCAAAACCCAGCAAGACAACACCCAAAAACACCCTGGAGATGTCCAGGACCCAGCAAAACCACACCCCACCCCCTGGGATGGGCCCAAAACCCAGTAAGGGCCCCACAACTACCCCCCCTGCGCTTGCCAACACCCAAAAAAACCACAACCACTTCCTACCTGCCTGCCCCAAACTCAGCAAGACCACTCCACTTCCACCCCCACTGGCCAAAACCCAAAAAAACACACCACTACCTCTCCGGAGTGGCCAACACCAGCAGACCACACCACTCCACCCACAATTGTGCAAGGCCCCGCAAGACCACACCCTACCTACCCTTTTAGCTTGGCAAGACCCAGCAAGCCACCCACTACCCACCATGGGCCCGCGTCAAGGCCCAGCAAAACCACCCACACCACATGCACTGTGCCAAGACCCAGCAAAACTAAACCCTACTTACGCACACTGGTCAAACCCAGCAAGATCACACTACAAATTACCTGCAGTTTAGTCAAGGGCCCCACAAGACTGGGGGTGGAAACGATGGACAGGTGAGGGTGAGGGATTGGGGTGAGTGAATGGACGTGGGAAGGGTGATGGATTGGAAATGATGGGCTGGTGGTGAGGTGATGGATTGGTGAATTTAGGACGGGGGATTGGATGGGCGGTGGTGATGATGGACTGATATTGGGGTGATAGACTGGTGGGAGGGGGATGGAGTGGGGGGGGATGGACTGGTGGGAAGGTGAAGAACGGGGGTGAAGGTGATGGCTGGGGGAGTGGGGTGGGTGGATGGGTGGTGAGGGGAGGTCTGGTGTGAGGGGATGGAAGTGGTGGTGAGATTGATGGACTTTGGGGAAGGTGAAGAACTGGTGGGGATGGTGGGACTGGTGGGTGAGGAGATGGGTGGTGAGGGTGATATCGTTAGTGAGGGTGATAGACTGGGGGGAGGTGATGGACTGGGAGAGAGTGATAAATGGTAGGGAGAGGAGGACTGGTAGTAAGGGGGAGGACTGGTTGTGAGAGTTATGAACTGTTCGGAAGGGTGATGGACTGGTGGTGTGGGTGGACTGGTGGAGAGAGTGATGAACTGGTAGTGAGAGTGAGGGACTGGTGGTAAGGGTGATGGACTGGTTGTGAGAGTTATGAACTGTTCGGAAGGGTGATGGACTGGTGGTGTGGGTGGTGAACCTGTGATGATTGTGTCTAGCGAGTCACGATTGTAATGAACGAATGACGATTGTGATGAACGACTGGCGATTGTGATGAACGACTGGCGGTTGTGATGAATGACTTACGATTGTGATGAACGACTGACCGCTGTGATGAACGACTGACGATTGTGATGAACGACTGACGATTGTGATTAACGACTGACGTTTGTGATGAACGACTGACGCTTGTGACGAACGATTGACGATTGTGATGAACACTTGGTGATGGTGATAGACTGGTGGTGAGGGTGATGGACTGGTGGTGAGAGTGATGGATTGGCGGTGAGTGTGATGGACGGGTGGTGAGGGTGATGAACTGGTGGTGAGGGTGATGGACTGGTGGTGAGAGTGATGGAATGGTGGTGATGGTGAAGGACTTGTGTTGAGGGTGGACGGTGGTAGGGTGATGACCTGGTGTGAGGGTGATGATTGACTGGTGGTGAAGGGTGATGGACTGGTGTGAAGGGTTATGGACTTGGAGGGTGAGAGTAATGGACTGGTGTTGAAGTGATGGAACTGGTGTTGAAGGTGATGGACTGATGGATGGTGAATGGACTGGTGTTGAAGTGATGGACTGATGTGAGGGTGAATGGACCTGGGGTTGAAGGTGATGGACAGATGGTGAGGGTATGGACTGTTGTTGAAGTGATGGACTGATGGTGAGGGGTGATGGACTGGTGTTGAAGGTGGATGACTGATGTGAGGGTGGATGTGAACTGATGGTGAGGTTGAATTGGACTGATGGTGAGAGTGATCGAGTTTTGGTGAGTGTGATGGAATGGTAGTGAGGGTGAAGGAATGGCAGTGAAGGGTGAAATTCTTGAAGGTCTCGAGGTTATCGAAGTTCTTGAAGGTCTCGAAGTTCTTGAAGGTCTCGAAGTTCTTGAAGGTCTCGAAGCTCTTGAAGGTCTCGAAGATCTTGAAGTTCTCGAAGATCTTGAAGTTCTGAAAGGGAAGATCATTAAGTTATTAATGCCTCACTCAGGTCCATGTCTTCAGGTGACCATCCTTGTCCCCTCGGATATTCACCATTCACCACTTCCCTGAGGTCAGCAACACAAGGATTAGACAACAACACAAGGACCAGACAACAACACAAGGACAGGACAACACAAGGACCAGACAACAACACAAGGAGAGGACAACAACACAAGGAGAGGCCAACAACACAAGAACCAGACAACAACACAAGGAGAGGACAACACAAGGACGAGACAACAACACAAGGAGAGGACAACACAAGGACGAGACAACAACACAAGGACAGGACAACAACACAAGGACGAGACAACAACACAAGGAGAGGACAACAACACAAGGACCAGACAACAACACAAGGAGAGGACAACAACACAAGGAGAGGACAACAACACAAGGACCAGACAACAACACAAGAACCAGACAACAACACAAGGACTTGACCACAACACAAGGAGAGGACAACAACACAAGGAGAGGACACCCAACACATGGAGAGAACAACAACCGAAGGAGAGGACAACAACCTAAGGAGAGGACAACAACCGAAGAAGAGGAACAACACCCTAGGTGAAGACACAACCGAAGGAGAGGACAACAACCGAAGGAGAGGACAACAACCGAAGGAGAGGACAACAACCGAAGGAGAGGACAACAACCGAACAACCGAAGGAGAGGACAACAACCGAACAACCGAAGGAGAGGACAACAACCTAAGGAGAGGACAACAACCCTAAGGAGAAGAGGACAACAACCGAAGGAGAGGACAACTAAACCCGATAGGAGAGGAACAACAACCGAAGGAGAGGACAACAACCGAAGGAGAGGACAACAACCGAAGGAGAGGACAACAACCGAAGGAGAGGACAACAACCGAAGGAGAGGACAACAACCGAAGGAGAGGACAACAACACAAGGACAAGACAACAACCCAAGAGAACAACGAGAACAGTTAGATGTTATTACTGGGGAGGACACGCAGAAATCTGCGCCCAGCAGTAACATCCTCCTGGACAGCCTTGACCCGCAGACTACCTAGACGAGAGGCCTCACTCACCCATTAGCCCACCAAGCTCTGGCCACTTAGTAACAATTTCGGAGTTCTATTTATATTTCATATTGCATTCATATTAATTATTAATTTATTCGATTATTTAACTGTTTAAGTGTATTTTAAACATTTTTTGGTGTCCAAATTACTGTCCACGAGTAAACCTTCACGTTTTCAGGTATGGAAACTCTGATTAATTGTTATCTGTTGTCTTTTTTTCTTGTTATTTATCTCTTGTTTCTCCATGATACGCTAAGATTCAAAAGTACATACTCTCTCTTCTCTCTCTCCTCTCTCTCTACGCATCCACCTCTCTGACTACGCACAACACGCAACACGCATACACACACACACATACATGTATGTATATATATAGATTGTGTATAATGTATGTTGATTGAGTGGAGACATTAATGTGTGTGGATGAATGTATGTTCACTTGTGAATATTCAAGACACAACCAGGAAACTACACATATATATGGAAAGAAACTCTTCATTATTATGTATGTAAATATTACTATCTTAGGTTAATATAGAATGTGGATGTTCAGTGTTTTATTAAATATATCCAGAGTGAGAGATGTGAAGACAGGAGAAGTGAGAGATGTGAAGACAGGAGAAGTGAGAGATGTGAAGACAGAAGTGAGAGATGTGAAGACAGAAGTGAGAGATGTGAAGACAGGAGAAGTGAGAGATGTGAAGACAGAAGTGAGAGATGTGAAGACAGGAGAAGTGAGAGGATGTTGAAGACAGAAGGAGAGATCTGAAGACAAATGAGAGATTGAACATGAGAAGTAGAGAAGTGAAGACAGTAGAAGTGAGAGATTGAAGACAGGAGATGAGAGAGATGTGAAGACAGGAGAGTGAGAGATGTGGAGAACAGTATAAGTGAGAGATGTGAAGACCAGAGAAGTGAGAATTGTGAAGACATGAGAATTGAAGAGATGTGAAGACAGAAGTGAGAGTTGTGAAGACATAAGTGAGAGATATGAAGACAGAATGAGAATGGAATACAGAAGTGAGAGTTATGAAGACAGAAGTGAGAGAGATGAAGACAGTATGAGAGATGTGAAAACAGGAAGTGAGAGATGTGAAGACAGAAGAGAGAGAGTGAAAACAGAAAGTGAGAGATGTGAAGACAGAAGTGAGAGATGTGAAGACAGAAGTGAGAGATATGAAGACAGAAGTGAGAGATATGAAGACAGAAGTGAGAGATGTGAAAACAGAAGTGAGAGATGTGAAGACAGAAGTGAGAGATGTGAAAACAGAAGTGAGAGATGTGAAGACAGAAGTGAGAGATGTGAAGGAAGGAGAAGTGACTTTACTTAAGAGATGTCTAGAACAGTTACAATGTTTTTCTTCTCATCTGCACTTTCCTCTTCCTATATACTGAGAGGAAAAATCATTGACCTACATTAACAGTAAAAATTCTTAGTGAATAAAAGAAAGTCGCTCAAATAAGATCTACTTTGACCACCACGTTACCTTGACCCTGACCACCACGTTACCTTGACCCTGACCACCACGTTACCTTGACCCTGACCACCACGTTACCTTGACCCTGACCACTACGTTACCTTGACCCTGACCACCACGTTACCTTGACCCTGACCACCACGTTACCTTGACCCTTACCACTACGTTACCTTTAACCCTGACCACCGAGGTTACCTTGACCCTGACTACCACGACCTTGACCCTGACTCACTACGTTACTTGACCCTGACCACCAGGTTACCTGACCCTGACTACCACGTTACCCTGACCCTGACCAACCACGTACCTTACCCTGACCACCACTTTACCTTGACCCTGACCACCACGTTACCTTGACCCTGACCACTACGTTACCGTTTACCCTGACACACCAGTTACCTTGACCCTGACCACCACGTTTACCTTTACCCTGACCATCCCACTCTAACCTTGACACTGTCCACCACGTTACCTGAACCCCTGACCACGCACGTTACCTTACCCTGACCACCACGTTTACCTTGACCCTGACCCGCCACGTACTGACCCTGGACCGCCTCGTTACCTTGACCCTGACCACCACGTTACCTGACCGCTGACCACTACGTTACCTTGACCCTGGCAACCACGTTACCTTGACCCTGACTCACCACGTTAAACCTTGACCCTGACCACCTCCTCTACCCTGACCCTGACCACCACGTTACCTTGACCCTGACCACCACGTTTTTACCCTTGACCCTGACCACTACGTTACCTTGACCCTGACCACCTACGTTACCTTGACCCCTGACCACCACGTTACTTGACCCTGACGAACCACGCTACCTTGACCCTGAACCACCCACGTTACCTTGACCCTGACCACCACTTTACCTTGAGCCCTGATCACCCGCATCTTGACCCTGACCACTCACGTTACCTTGACCTACCACCACGCAAACTACCTTGACCCTGATCACAACGTTACCTTGACCCTGACCACCATGCTACCTTGACCCTGATCACCACGCTACCTTGACCCTGATCACAACATTACCTTGACCCTGACCACCATGCTACCTTGACCCTGATCACCATGCTACCTTGACCCTGATCACCATGCTACCTTGGCCCTGATCACCACGCTACCTTGACCCGACCACCACGCTACCTTGACCCTGACCACCACGCTACCTTGACACTGACTACCACGTTACCTTGTTAAGTCTCCACTACAAAGTCAAAGATATATTTCCATTTTGTACAATGTTTATCCGGAAATTAGTGACATTTATGCGATCATAAAATCCATGGTTATGACAGCATAAAGTCCATGGTTAGGTGAGCATAACGTCCATGGTTATGTGAGCATAAAGTCCATGGTTAGGTGAGCATAACGTCCATGGTTATGTGAGCATAAAGTCCATGGTTAGGTGAGCATAAATCTATGGTTATGTGAGCATGAAGTCCATGGTTAGGTGAGCATAAATCTATGGTTATGTGAGCATAACGTCCATGGTTATGACAGCATAAAGCCCATGGTTATGTGAGCATTTCTCGTAGTCTTAAGCCTAACTTAATACTAAAACAGCAATAACTATTGTATGCTAATGTATATAAGAACTTCAAATACAGACATTTATGTATTTTTTGCAACAGAATAATACTGTCATAATACTTATGAAATACGTAACTAATATTTTCTTACGTGTCCTATATATTACTGAGTTTCGAAATAGTTATATGCAAAAAAAATATATATATATATATTAAACGAAATTTTTGAAAAACACATAATTTACAACTTATGAAGATTTGACCCTGTAAAGTTTTCTAACTCCTGACTGTCACTCTCACAGTCATACCAACAATAACACAAGACTCCTGACTGTCACTCTCACAGTCATACCAACAATAACACAAGACTCCTGACTGTCACTCTCACAGTCATACCAACAATAACACAAGACTCCTGACTGTCACTCTCTACAGTCTTACCAACAATAACAACCAGCCTCCTGACTGACACACTCACAATCATACCAACAATAACACAAGACTCCTGCGAGTCACTCTCACAACCACACACCAACAATAACACCAGGACTCCTACTGTCACTCTCGACAATCCATACCAACAATAACACAAGACTGCCCGACTTCACTCTCAACAAACACAAACCAACAATAACACCAGACCTCCCGACTGTCACTCTCACAACCACACAACAATAACACAAGACCCTGACTGTCACTCTCACAATCCATCAACAATAAACACCACAACTTCCTGACTGTCCTCTCACAACCACACCAACATAACACCAGACTCCTTACTGTACTCACTCTCACAACCACACCAACATAACACCAACTCCTGACTGTCACCTCTCACCAACCACACCAACAAGAACACCAACTCCTGACTGTCACTCTCACAATCATACCAACAAATAACACAAGACTCCTTGACTGTCACTCTCTACAAATCATGACCAACAATACCACAAACTCCTGACTGTCACTCTCACAGTCATACCAACAATAACACAAGACTCCTGACTGTCACTCTCACAATCATACCAACAATAACACAAGACTCCCGACTGTCACTCTCACAACCACACCAACAATAACACCAGACTCCCGACTGTCACTCTCACAATCATACCAACAATAACACAAGACTCCTGACTGTCACTCTCACAACCACACCAACAATAACAAAAGACTCACTGACTGTTCACTCTCCACAATCACACCAACAATATCACCAGACTCCGACTGTCACTCTCACAATCATATCAACAAGAACACAAGACTCCTGACTGTCCACTCCACAAACCACACCAACAATACACCAGACTCCCTGACAGTCAGGCTCTCACAATCATACCAACAATAACACAAGAACCCTGACCTGTCACTCTCACAATCATACCAACAATTAAACACAAGACTCCTGACTGTCCCACTCTCACAACCACACCCAACAAAAACACAAACTCCTGACTGGCACTTCTCACAACCAACCAACTATAACAACAGACTCACTCCTGACTGTCACCTCTCACAACATATACAAACCAATAACACAAAGACTCCTGAGTTGTCACTCTCACAACACACCAACAATAACAACAACCCTCCTCCCGACTGACTTCACACAATCATACCAACAATAACACAAGACTCCTGACTGTCACTCTCCCCCTAAACCACACCTACAATAACACCAGATCGTCCCGACTGTCACTCTCACAATCATACCAACAATAACACAAGACCCCGACTGTCACTCTCACAACCCACACCACACTAACAACAGACTACCCGACGTCAGCTCTCACAACCACTCCAACAATAAACACAATACTCCTGACTGTCAATCTCACAACCACAACCAACAATAACACAAGACTCCCGACTGTCACTCTCAACAACCAACACCACAATAACACCACATCCCGACTTGTCACTCTCACAACCACACACCCAACATAACAAAGACTCCCGAACTGTCACTCACACAAACCACACCAACAATAAACAACAGACTCCCGACTGTCACTCTCACAACCA